AAAGGAAGTGTAACTGGATCAGGAATCCTTTGGCATTTCCTCCTTGTTTGCTGGCCCCTACTTTGGGCTGGCCCTAGAGGTCCCATAGGTCTAGACGTCCTCCCAGCCAGCCAGGCTCTGCTAAGAAGAGAGGGAGAAGGGATGGTGTAGCCAAAAACTGGGTCGTTCTGCCTCAATGGCAAGGCCCATGCGGCAGGAGCCCATCTAGCCTGGCTGAACGCTCCGACCCCCCCTCCCCACCCCACCCACCCATTTGCTCTACTCAGGGCTGTCACCCTGCATACTTAACCCCTGCCGGGATGCCCTGTTCTTTCCAGGACAAAAGGGTTGTTATCAGCGTAGTTCTCCAGGGTGAGTACGTGACCTCCTGTCTGGTAGGCGAGGCGACACGGAGACCACCCTCCCTCCCCAGGGAGCAGGTGTGTGCCAGGTGAGCCAAGGGCATTTCACTGGCATTTAGGGAGATGTGGGCCGAGTCCCTAGAGATTCAGACTCTCTCTCACTTCTGTGACCCACGGTCATGTGTGCTCGTCTGTCCGACTCCCTGAAGCTCATATCCTTGGTCTCTGGCTGCTTTCAGGAGCCCAATCCATCCCAGCCCCCAAAACATCAGGGAGCCTCCTGTTCCCCAGGCATGGGCAGGAGACCTCAGGAACAGCACAGGCACCCAGGCCCAGGCTCCAGTTTGCCAACACCGACAGTGCCATGTCAGACAATAAATAGCTGTTCACAGGCAGTTGAATAACTTTCCTTAAAAACAGGATAGCACAGTCTTTCCTAGGCAACTTGGTTTACACCCAAGTTGACCATGGACTTAGCTATGACAGCATTAGAGGACTCTTCCTCTAATGCTGTCATAGTGCCAGCAGGGTTCAGGAGGAGCAAACACCACTCACCTCCTGGAAGGATGCTCACCTATAGGGTACCCACCTCACAGGGACTTGAAACTAGATCTTAGCGTGCCCACTAAACATAGCAAACCAGACCCTACCAGGCTCCTTTCAAGTTAAACAAGAGCAGGATGCTTGATCACCCTGGGATAATGGGCAAGCATCACAGGTATGACCAGGAATATCGGGGGCCCCTGACTGATGTACTTTTGCACCCCAGAGACTGACCAGTAGAAGGCCTTGCTAATAGAACTGGAACCATGGGTGAGGGTTGGGAGTATGATCTACCTCATCAGCAGACGCACCTTCCCTAAAACCCTAAATTACAAGTCATATTTTCAGTTTGACCCACATTTTTCTTTTTGTTCTCCTATTAATAAAAAGGCCAGGATCTTATTCTTCGGGCAGCGACCTGAACTGTACAGCCTGCTCCAGACTCCCCATTTCTCTATCAGTGTGGGGGTGCTGACAACTTCAGGCAACCCCCAAGCCCACGGGTTGTCGGAATGATGTCTCTACAATAGCCCTACCTCTGCAGACACAGACGAGGTTCCTCAACCCCTGCCCCTGAAGATATGTCAGCACTTAGGTTGCTTCCCATCCCTCCCTGAAATCCACAGTGGCACCTCTTTTGAAGTTTAAGCAACTACAACTGGTACAACTGGGTTGCTGGCATCCAATCCCTGCCTGAACAGTGGGCATGGCCGAGGCCCAGCCAGTTCCTGACAGCAGTGTGTCAGGAGGAGGCTGGAGGTTGAGTTTGTAGCTGAGTAACCTAGAACTCTCAAGGAGAGTGTGCTCTGCTACCCACCCAAACCAGGACAGCAGACAAGCTCAATGAAAGCCCTCCCAGGAACTCCAGATGGAGGCTGCAAAGATGACAGCTTCTAACACATGCTTTTAATTAGCAGTGATACAGTGAAAGCTCTGGGAGCAAATCCTTTCCATTCCCACCACTGAGCTAAACTGAGGTGCTTCCCGTCTACGTCAGACAGCTCCAAGGTGGGTCTTCCTGGGCCAGATCCCACTCCAGAGGCCAGGGCCCACGCCGGAGCTGCACACCTTCCAAGAGACACCGCGTCTGGAGAGCTTACACGGGTTGTCAGAATCACAATTCAGAACCGTCCTGCAACACAGCCCCACAGTGCATAACCTCACGGAGAGGCCACCCCCACCAGGCGCCAAGCCCACGTGAGAGGGACCCGAGCCCAGCCCTGAGCCTGCTCTTCTGTCCCTGCACGGGCTCGTCTATCTGTATGCCTACAGCATGGTTGCATGCACACACTCACAAACACACACACACACACACCCATGCACCAAGCAATCCATCTGTCTCAGAGAGCCGGCTGTCAGAAATGAAAGTACAATCTCCTGGAACCAAGTCACAGCCTTCTAAAAATGTGCCGTTTTCCCAGACTGGGGAGACTTGCAGGGGTGGGGCGTGTTTCGCTGCGGGCCCCAAAGGTCCAGGCCTGTGCCGGACCCAAGCTCGCAAGGCTGGAATTCCAACCTGCAGCCAGCAGGCCTGCCCCCAGGGCTCCTACCCGCCCACTCCCCTTCCTCGCAGGAAAGGGAAGGGCCAGCCTTGGAGTCACCCCGGCATTTCAGGAGGGGGGCCTGCCTTTGAGCACACCCCACCCCCACCTCTGAGGCACCACATTTTCACATTCGGCTGTTTTTTCTTTCCCTTCTTCCCTTGCCAAGAGAATCAAGCCCTGGCTCCTGCTGCCGACCTTCCTCCCACCCTGAACTGAGCCCCATTCATTAAGCCCGCACTCAGCCAGGCAGGACAGGAAGGAAAACAGCACACAAGGCCTGTGAAAGAGACACTCTGAGAGGTTATTTCAGGGGGGAGGAGAGGGCCCGTCCTTGCGTCCACCGCTCCCCACCTTGATGCCCTCCTTCCTGAAACAGGCTCCCACCCTCCAGCCTCTGCTAACCCCATCCCCTAGGGGGCCTGCCCGGTCCCCCACAGCCCCTGTTCTTCCTCTGCTGGGCAGACACACCCAGGCCTCCCCACCCCCATGGAAAGACCAACTTCTTGGAAAGGAGGTGGCCAGGGCTTTCTCGGCTTTCTCCATTCGTAAAACTCTCTGCCCTGGAGCAGGGCCACCAACATCATCTTCTGGAGATGCGTTCCTGCTCAAGAGGACATAACCCTGGGCGTTCTCCATGCCCATCACCTCCCCTCCGGGCACCCCCCAAACCATGGCTCTAACCCAAGACACAGTTTCTCCAATTTCTCCCCACGGCACATTATTAATAAACTGCTCCGTCTCCACACGGAAAGAAGAAAGAGCTCAAACTTTGAAGCCTTGGGAATTAGTAAGTCAAGAGCTACAATTCAAAACAAATGCTCTTTCATGTGGAGGGCCCCCCTTTTTTTCTTTTTGCAGTTTCGTTAAACCACGGATCCCTTCAGAAACACACCCCTCCTCCCTAGCAGCTCATCATTAATCTCAATGGTGGCAGCTACCTTGGGGGTGGGGTTGGGGTGGGAGCTGTGTGCCGTGTTTCTATCCCCACTTCTAGCTCGTAGGACTGCAAGGCTTTGGGCAGGACGCCCGCCCATCTCGGCTCAGAGGGGCCTCTGCTTAGCTTAGCGGGTGACACTGTCAGGAGGCGCCCGGGCTGGTGGCTCGCCTGGTGTTGTCATTTCCTCCAGCAGAGGAGACAGACAAGATGTTATCAATAAGACAAACCCTCCCGAAAAGCCCCCTTTCAAAAGCTACCACTTCCCTCGCTTATTTCATGTGGTTCAGAGGGATTGGGGCTCCTCCCTGCACATTCAGGATTTAAAAAATAAAACATCTAACTACATCCTGAGTATGTTATTTTGCCCAGACCCTTCCCTCTTCTTGGCCTTCCTTCTTTCAGGAACTGGCTCAGCCTTAGAAAGCAAAAAGAAGCAGTTCACCCAACTGCTGCGGACTCTCCCTCCTCCACACCCCCAGGTCCATTCCAGCCTGGAGCCCCAGGACGCACCCCCACCCCCAGCCCTGTCCCTCCAGCTCCATCCTCATTAGGAGCTTTGAGTAAACAATACCCTCAGTCTCAGATAACAGTCGTAGTATATACTGCACTGAAATAAAAACAAACAAGGGACTCCTTAAAGACATTCCCAGCAAGCTCAATTCCTGGAAGAGGAGAGCCCTCTCCCAGATGACCCAGGTCTCAGCGACGCTTGACCAATTAGCGGCCCCCCTCCCCCCTCCCCCCACCTCGAGGAGACACCCAAGACAGTGCTACAGCTTCCATCTGTGCCGCCACAGCCCTCCATCAAAATCCCGGAGGCATGAGATGAAAAATGCCTGGAATTTTGTTCAGGTCACTTTCCCTTTGCTTTGGCTACTCCTCAGAATATTCAGTGACAGCGCACTATAGGTGGGGACAGGGGGAAATCAATGTCTTTAGAATAAAAGGACACCACCTCCCACTTACATTGTGTATTTCTCCAAGTTTAGTTCTCGCTGCCCAGGTCCTCCAGGAAGATGCTACTCAGGCACTGGTCCCTCATCCAAACCCAAACCCCAGCACTGGCATTCCAAGCCCTCGTGACCTCGGGCCCGGGGAAAGCCCACCCTCCTTCTGAGGAGCAGGGTTATCAGTGCCTCCTCTCTCCAGGGCCCCATCCTGTCCTTCTAGTATCCACCATGCTCTACAGAACCCCCACTAAGCCAGATCGTGGACATCTACTCTCAGTTCTCATCCCATACTTGGGGTCTGTCTTCAGCAAGGTCCCAAAAGAGGAGTCCATCTACCTTCCAGGCACCTGGTGCGCCAAGAGCCAGGTCAGAACGAGCTTAAGCCTCGGACACCAAAGCTGCAGAGTGTGGAAGCCCGCGGGGGAGGAGTCAGTTGACAGTCACCACAAAACACCGCACAACCCCATCCCAAGGAAGACCCCAGTTCTACAACCATGTTGGGGCCCAGCCCCAGGAGGTCACACTAGCAAGCAAAGGGCGGCAGTCACCATGACTTGTCCAACTGAACACACACGTGAGAATTAACTCCACGCCATCTGGGGGGGCAGCAGGCCACCCCCATCTCTCCAGTCTCCATTCATTTCAAGAGATTCTGGAATCACCAAGAAAACGGGATAAGTCTTACCTGAAAGCCCCCCAGGGGCCAGGTAATTCGTTCCCCCTGTTTCAGCGGAGGAAGGCACAGTATCTGGACAGTCTGCTGTGGGCCGGAGAGAGAAATAAATAAGTACACAAATAAATAAATAAAAACACCAAGATTAATTTTTAAGCACATTCTAAACAGCATTAAAGAGAAACCACACATTCCAAGCGGCTGACTCCCAGCCACGATGCTGATTATTAATGGTCTGCTCAGGCTTCACTGCCCATCATAAGACAGACCACAGCACCTTGTCACCCGTCTGGGCTCCAGGCAGCCAGTTAATCATTAGCCAAGTCAGGCTCGATCACAGACTGGCTGGAATTTCTCTTTTATTCCAAGTCCTCCATTGAAGAAACTAGGTAGTTCCCAAGGTCAAAGGAGTTCTGGGTTCTGCTCGCAAACCTAGCTGCCTCCCCCCATCTCTCCCAGGGGAAAAATCAAGGGCAAAGCCACCTTACTTGGTTCCTGGGGCCCCAATGCCACCCCCACACACTGGGTATCTGGCAGTTGTCTTTCTAAAGACTTCCAAGTTCTTAGGACTATCTCAAATTGATATGGCGCTGAAGGGGTTTCTTTTTCCCTTTTAATTGTGGTGTAATGAGTAGAGCAAAGTGCAAGAAATTTCAAGCAGAACTGAATGAATTTTACTCATGTATACACCTGTGGAAAGCCACAACCCAGTCAAGTACATTCTCAGCAAGGCGCCCAGCCGGAGGGGAAATGTTCTACCTCCTTCCAGGCCTAGTCCAAAACTCCCATCTCTGGAAGCCTTCCCGGGCAACCCCAGACCTGCAAGGCTGCGTGCCCTCAGCTCCCATTAAAACTTTCTGGCACCCAGCACTTGGAGTTCCCTTCTGCTGTCCTTCCTGATCTTTCCCCTCAGATCCTGCCTGCCCTGACTAGGCTCTAAGTTTCTCTGCAACTTCTCTGTCATCCCCAGATGCTCCCAGCAGTGACCTAAATGTGACTGAGTGTTATGACAATTCCAGCTGAGAAACAGACTCCCTCCAAGCAATTAAAACAAAAATATGCCCATGCACTACCAAACAGCCCCTCCACAAAATGCACAAGACCCTGTTAAGTGGAACGTAGGCCACAGCCAATGCTAAACCCAAACACTGGCTCAAGAACTAAGCTTTTCAGCTCTTCAGCCAACACACCATGTCGGTTCCTGCAAATTCCAGTGGCCCCCACCCCAGGCCAATAGCAGGATGGCCCTGGGGTGCACATTATCAGCTTCCTGCTCGAGCTACCTGGCCAGGGGCGAATAGAAAGTCTAGGGAAAGGGCTGCAGGAGCAAATGGCCCAGGCCTGTGCCTCCTGGCTAGCAGATGCCTTCAGGGACCCAGTTCCTGGCAAGGATTGGAACTGGGGTTGGGGAGTGGGGGCTGAGTCTGGCCAACGCACAGCCCCCCTGTCACGCCTGTGTTTCTGCAGCCTCCCTCCCTCTACAACTCTTAAGATTCTCTCTCTTACTCTCCCTCTGCAGCACTCTCTGGACTTTCTTGGGCTGTTAAAACAACTTTTCAAGAATTCTCTGGGGGGGGGGGGTTTGAGGAGTGGTGGCAGCAAGCAAAGAGAAAGATGGTGTGTGTAATCTCATTTTATCAGGGTAAAATATAACTCCTAACAGGAATATACAGTTTTACAGGATATACTTAATCAAATGGAAAACAATGGGGGAGGCAGGAAGTGGAGTTGTTGCTAAACGCTGTACCTCCTGCACTTTCTAAAACCACTTTAGGGATAGGCTTGGAAGACACCCTAACATTAAGCATGATGACTTATCCACGGCCACTCCCGGCCCCCCTCCCCAGCTCTGGCTGGCTCGATCCCAGGGGCAAGGTGTGTTTCAAAGGGAAAGCCCGGCATCTCAGGGCAGAGCTGGGACCATATTCAGGGTGTCAGCCCATCTCAGATCAAAGGCAAGCCAGCTCGCACTGGCAACCACAAGCGTTTGTATGAAATGGTGCTCTGCCCTTCTGCAGCGCCTTTGATCTCAGGAGGGATTTACAAACATTAATTAGGTCTGCGTACCACTCCTGTGAAGTAGTAAAGTATACCTGTTCAACATGCACCCAGGTAAACTGAGGCGTCATTGACTAGCTCAAGGGGCCACCCAGTGAGCTGGGCCTATCCCTCAGCTCGCCCTCCCCAGACAGGTCAGCAGTCCCAACTCTCTTCCCTGCAGGGAGGCAGGCTGAGGCTGTCTCCAGTACCCAGACAGGCCTCCAGCTACTGCTGAGCTTGTAAAGGTCAAAAGGGCCACGCCTCCATCCCTCACCCACAGAAAAAGCTCTAAGCCAAAGCCTAAGTTTCTGCCTGGTGCCCAGTCCCCGGACCCGGCCTGGCACAAACACTCACACTCACACAGGAGCTCTAGGCCATTCCTGGCTCTCATCCACCACTCAGTGTTTCTGAGCACCCAGTGAATGCTGGGTCTGGGAGATACAGTCCTTCACAAATCAAGACTCACTGGAGGTAGCAAGACATGAAACGTGGTGAAGGGGCTGGGGACCCCACTTCTCTCACCTGCAGAATGCGTACCAGAGAGCCAGGACATTCTAGCCAACTTAGATCTGAGTTGCACCACCAATCCCACTAACATACCCCAAAGCGTGCCAGCTCTGCCACCATATCCCAAATGTTCAAAGCTCTTGCACCCATCCACAACTCCAATGAACCCTGGATACAGAAGGGCAAACCACTCCATTAGAATCATCAAATTTTTAGGCAGACACATCATCAGGTTTGTGGAGCGAATGAATGAACCAATAAATAAGCAAATGAATGAATCATCTAATCTAACTCTTTAATCATCTGGGTTTCAAAAGAGGCCTGGAAAAGTTGAAAGTGGCATGAGTTAAGAGGTAAAAAGCAGGACTAGATCCCAGACTTCTCAACTAGGCTTTAGAAGGCTCAATTTGCCAATGGGCACTGCTCACCTGGGTCCTCAGCCTCAGCCAGGAGACTGCACCCAGCAATGTGCTCTGACCTGAGATCTAATTTCAAACAGCATGTTCTTACTCCTGTGAGACTGGGGCCCATGGGGGCTGGTGGAGAAGGAAGGTGTCTCCCTGACTTCTGATGTAGCCATAGGTCAGTCACCTTGTTCCAGACATACTCCTTCTTTCCCAGATGACCCTGCTGCCTTGGGCTCACCCAGCACCCAGGTATACAAAGGTCAGGCTCTCCCAGAAGCTGCTGTAGAATGGCTTGAACCAGAGCAACCCTTTCCTGAGTCCCTCCAAAGGTTACAGGTTGAAGTCCCCTTGCCATCCGCCCTTCCCCCCCACTGAGAACTCCACAGGATTCCCTTAGTTGTGCAACCAGTTGAGTTCAACACTTGTCCACTTAAGAGCTGATGCCTGGTTCTCACCTAGTAACCCAGACCAAAATTTCAACCTAAGGCTTAGAAACTTAAGAATGTAAGTGGCTGATCTAAACTCCCAGCCAAATACTCTCCCAGATACAAGGTGAGGCTGAAAACCTGGGGCCCCACCCGTCTTTGTCTGACCTCTGCGCCTGGGGCCCTCGCAGCCAGCCCAGCCCGCCCCCTCCAGCCCTCCTGGCAGCCCGCCAAGAGAGCTCCTCCTCCTCCCACTCTCCTGTCCTTACACACACAAGGGCACTTTTTTCATTGCGTGTTTTTTTTTTTTTTGCTTTGTTTTAAGCAAAACGTTTTGGGTGAGTAACCAGCTGTTTGAGTTTCCGAGTGGCAGGTTAATCACTTCCTATTGGCTGATCTGCAGAACTTTTCTCCCCCTTGAAAATGGCACATTCCTGTCTTTGTGGCTTCTCTGTTTACACACATTTTGCTACCTAATGTCAACACTTGCTAATGAATAAATATATCACTCCACTCACTGAAAATGAGGTCCTGGCCTGGCTGAGTGACGGCTTAAATCCCAAGAACAGATTTACCCCGGCATCTCTGCAGGAACGTGGCTCCTCTTTGCTATGGGCTTAGGAAGTCCCCGGGACACTGACTGCCACTGCCTGTTCTGTTTTCTCTCCTCTAAGGAAAACCTCCAAATTTGAAGACGATGGGAGGAAAAACGCAGACGGGACGGTGATGGTCCTTGGGGTAGCCTCAGGAAAGACTTCCTGAGTCTTCAAGCCAAAAGCCCGGACGAGTTACGTTCTCCTCTACAGAGCCTGATAATTTTCAGTTAACGTTTGTTACAAATACAGAGAGCTGGTTATCTCCTCATTAATGACCATTTATCTGCTGTTTTGTAAATCGAAAGCAAAATATCACATGCTTCGCAGGCCACTTATTAAGGCAAGCAGAAACGCCTTCCCAACTGAGGGAGCCGTACAGTCCCGGGAGGGCTGGCTGAGGAGCATGGGCTTCGGTTACACCGTTCATTAAAGTATTTAATTTATGACAACGCCCCAGCAAAACTTTTAATTAGTGGGGGGAAAGGCCCAACAGCCAAAAACTCATGAGGTGGAAGGACTTGTAGAATTCCAAGAGCGAAATGGTGCCCAGCCCTTCGCTTTTTCCTTCTCCCAGAACCTTGGCAAAATGAAAAAATCACCAGCCTGGCATTTTTCTGCCACAGGACCCAGGCTTTAGGATCCTAAAGTTACAATCCGTATTTTCTGCAAATGGGTGTCCCGCTGTAAGCAGAGTCAGGACAGAGACCAGACTCTAGGGTCACCCCAAGCCCCAGTCCTGTTGACACTTCTCCCCAACATGGTGAGCTTCATGTGGTGAGCTCCTGCACTGCCAGCCAGAACCAGAGTGCAGAGAAGAGGGCTGGTACCAGTCTCACAAGGGCTTTTGCCCTGGCCCTGTGCCATCCCATGACAAAGCAACAGGCAGGCAGAGCTATGCAGACAAGTTTTATGCCCCTACCAAGAGTGCAGAGAACTGGGGAAGAGAGCTGACCTGCAGGTCACAGGAGGGTGCCCAGGGGTGGGGACTGCCTTCCTAAATGTCCTAAACCTCTTAACTCCAAACCAGTCTTCCCTCAACACCTTTTTAACTTCTATCCTTGTATCAAGTTACCCTTCATCCCTGCTGATTCTTCTGGCACTCACAATTTTTCATTCTCCATCAACCTATCCTGTTTGTCTCCCAAGTAGCACAAATACATGAAAAAAGAATAAAAAGACATAGCTAACAACCCCCCAGCCCCCACGTTTTAAATTATACAGCTATATATCCAGTCTCAGCAACAAAACAGAAAAACCCTAACTTCCAACAGAGCAACTCGGCGCCTGGAACTGCCAAGGAGCACAGCCAGCGCCTCCCCAAGCCGCAGCCTAGACACCAAAATCTGCTCTCTCGAGACTCCGTTTCGAAACGAACTGAAGACAGCACGGGTATTTTTTAAGCCATCTACTCACCAGTTGGTTTGAGAAAATCCATCGGGTATCTGGAGTAAGGAGGAGGGGGAGACTCTGGAATGAAAAAAGTAAGGGAAAATAAAGACCGAGCCATGAGAAAGAGATAGAAACTTATGATAACAGAGGCATTCTTTTAGCCCAACTGTTTGTCTTAGCTGTGGGGGTTGGAGGCCGGGCCGCGAGGCGGTGATTGCCTTGATATTTAGCTGTCAGATAAACAAAAGAGGCCGCCTGGCGCCAGCCGCGGCGCTCAGCTTCTCCACGTCTGCGGCCGCCGCCGCCGCACAGCGCCGGCCCAGCTGGAAACCACCGGCCGGGCCACGGCTCCTCCAGACCGCGCACTTCCCAGTTCACAGGCCGGGGGGCGACTGAGCCCCCTCCGCGTCCCAGAACTTCAGACCTGGCTCCCACTCACCCCTGGTGCCCACCGCACCCCACCCGCGGGGGCGCGATTCAACCCTGCCCGCGCCGCACCGCCGGGCACCCGCGCCAGGAACAGGAGGATCCCCCTTCCGCGAGCCCCCACCCCCGGGAGACAAGCCCTAAAAGGGTTGGTGCTCGGGGGAGGAGCTGTGAGCACCGGGGCGCACATGCCCGGTTTCCCCACCCGCACATCAGACTAGAGAAGGGAAGCAATGGAGAAGCTGGAAGGACAGAGAGGCGGCCGGGGTCTCGGACCAGAAGCCCAGGTCCCCGCGTGGAAAGGAGCAGACATCGGGGAGACGCAGTGGGCCATTCCGTGCTGGCAAGGAGAAAGTAGGAGACACCCTAACTTCTCCTAGCAGCTCGTTCTTTTCCACCCTGGGTTGGCAGAGTTGAGAGTAAATATCCAGTTGAGCCTCCCGTCCTCATCCTCTCAGCCCCCGAACTTGGCCCCAAGCTGCTGGCCAGGGCAGTCTCTGGACCACTTACGCCCGGCGCGACTCTCCCAATTTACTAAGGGCGCAGAGACTCTGCCTTGGCGACTCGCTTCTCCCAGCCTTCCTTGGCGGGCTTGGACCTGGTCCAACTCGGCCACACACCTCCCTCCACGCCTTTCCGGGTGCGGGGGAGGCGTGACCCCCCGCTTCTTTCTGCGTCCCCTGACCGATCCGGAAATAAGGGCGTCTAATTTTTAACCGCACGTCTGTAGCCCGCGCGTAAGAGCCGTGCCCGGGACCCCCACCGGGGCGAGAGAACAGAACTGGAAGGGAAGCCCCAGGGAATACCCTCCCAGTTTCCCCGGGTCCCCTCTCCACTTTCGCCCTGCAAATCTCCTCCCAGGCTCGGGAGAAGCAGCTCCGCACAGACCCAACTCCCGCCGTTCTCTTCCGCAGCTTGACCCGCAGGGAGGAGGGAAGGTGAACACCCAACAACTTCTTACCTAGTTCGCAGAGTCGGCTAAGGTGATGGGGGTTGCAGCACACCAGCTCGGGGTTGATCTTCCCGTAAGATTCACAGCAACACAGCCTCTTGACTTCCGAGGAATGCCTGAGATCCGGCCACCTGAACACTTTGCACAGCAGGAGGGGCAGCGAATAGGACGAGGGCGGCTGCGCGGGCTGCGCGCCGGCGGGCGCCCCCAGGCCCAGCCTGCAGTCTAGGCGGCCGGGCAGCAGGAGACACGCGGTGCGAGTACCGCCGCGGGACTCCACGGCCTGCAGCAGCAGCTCCAGCTGCCGCTCCTTCAGCTTCTTGAGCACCGAGTGCGTGAGCGCCTTCAGATCCGCCTCGGCGCCCCCGGCCGCGCCGGCGCCCGCGGCTGGGGGGTGGGAATGGTGGTGACCTTTGGCACCCCGGACCGCCTTGCCCAGGCAGCAGCCAGCCCTGCCTGCGCCGTCGCCACCCGCCCCATGCGCCCAGCCGTCCGTGGCCCCTTCTCCCCGCAGCTCGCCTCCGCCTCCGCCCGTGCCCTCCTCCTCGTCCTCGCCGCCGGGCGCACGGCTTCTCCAGAGACGCCGGACGAGCGCAGATCGTTTGGTCCTGAACATGCGGGGCGAGGAGGCGAGGAGAAAAGTCGTTGGCCGGCTAAGGAGCGAACATGACCTCCGCACACCATGAAGAAGTCGGGCGCCGAGTTGGGGCAACAGACGCAGGCGACAGCAGCAACAGCAGGGGCCCGGACAAGAGCGGCGGCGGCCCGAGGGGCGCTCCGTGGCATGCGCCAGTCTCCCGGAGGCCGGGGCGCGCGCGGGGGC